TGATACCTTATTTATTATAAATAAATAAATACCCTTTTAAAAAATTATCTCATATAGCTACCTTTTAATTTTTATAGAAAAATATCTATTTATGATCACTTCCTATCATTAAGCCACTAAAAACTCTCTCTAATATTTTTCTCTCTCATTCTTTATATAAAACTACCTCCTTATTAAACCCTAGCGTATGTTCTTGTTTTCTTTTTTTGTAGGAGACGTGTTGGCCATGACCTATCATTATTCACGAGTTCTAAGTGTTGGTATTAGCATTAGCTGAAGATTGACCTAAAAGCTTTTTGTCACCATTATTGTCTCGTAGAAGAATTCCAAATCTGTACATATAGAAATAAATTTCCTACTAGCTTTTTTAAAGTTAAAAGTGAATTCTCTCTATCGTTTTTTCCCCCCTTGAAGTCTAATTCAAGACGATATCGCAAAGTTGGTTCTGGGAGAAGGGGAGGCAGTACTTTTTGATTTTCTTTGCCCCCTTGCCGGCGGTTGATAATTCCAACGGAAGAGTTATTCTTATATTCAGATGTGTTTATATGTATTTGATAAGGCATACATTATTTTTATTTTTTTGTACAGTAATTTTTGACTGTTGTATTTGGATGTATTTATATGTATTTGAGCTCATACAATAACATTTTTAATTACATTATTAGTTCTAACTGTATTCATCTGTATTTTCAACCTAACTGTATATATGTATTTAAAACAACAATACAAAAAAATACAGTAAAATACTCTCAATATAAAATAGAAAAGCAATGAATACAACTAATAAAATGTATTTAGATTGTAGACAGTGACTTTTAGATGTATTTAGATTTTATTAGAGAAACATATATTATGAATAACATTATACATGCTGTAATTTTTAAAATTCTACCATGAATATATTATACAACTAACCAGAATACATATCCATACAGTTGGATATAGAAAATTTCTGAAGATGTTGTAAGTATATACCACGAAAAAAATGATGAATTAAATCTTTGAATATTGCTCTATTTTTGGGTGTTTTTCGTCTGAGAAATCTTTTCCTTAACTGGATTAATAATTTTGCATGTTATAATTGAGTTTGTTGGATTATATTAGGAGTCTATCAAGTTAATTGATTCACTTTCCGTTTTTAAACAGCTGGAGAGGCCTATTTTTACGATGTATTCATGAATACATCTCGCGAATACATATGAATACAGCATATGATAGCTGGCATGCTCTATTTTTTCGCCGAATTTTGTTGTTGCATTCGTGAATACAGTAGCTTGAATACATTCCATAATAACTAAAAAAAATAGCTATAGGAAGTAATTAATTAAATGGTAGCTATAACAAGTTAATAGCCACTAAACAATAGTGATTTTCGAAAATTTCTCTATAATAGCTCCCATGTTCACAAGGAAAGGAAAGGAAAAGAAAAATTTGCCATCATAACTTTTCCTCAAGAATTTCAAGTCCATTCAGGCTTTAGCTGATTGCTGCTCATTAGCTTCAATTGCCAACTTCTTTTTTGGGGTCAAAGATCCGTCGGTTGATTTGGTAAAATGTTTTGTTAGAATAGTGTTGAATAAGTCCTCGTCTTAACTTTTCTTGGAAAAGTCTAAAGATTGTTTCTTTTCTTAAAAAAAGAAATAGAGTTCCTTATGAAATACGCAAAACCTCAAACGTATATGTGGGTAGGATCATGCATGGAGAGAATGATAGTCATATATATCCAAAAGAAGGATGAATTCGAGACAATAACTATATAAGCCTTTACGATCAGATTACTCTATCGAGGTTGTCTAAACCTATGTAGTCCCAACTCCCAAATGTAAGGAATTGCTAGATTTTCTCTTTATTAATTACGTGTGGTCTTATTAGCTAACCTCATAATTTATAGTATTTAATAGCAAGCAAATTTCGATTTTTCGTTTGGTTAATAAGAACGTACATAATAAAATTCTATATACCTGTTCATTAGGATTAATGTCTCCATATACCTTTTCGTCACTAAAGCTGCAATCAGGGATGGAGCTACCTTATTACAAATTAAACGAGTTCAATTGAATTTTCCTTATCGAAAAGTTACATTCTCTAAATAAGGTATGATTATAGTTTAGTGATAAAGCAGGTTAAAAACTATTCTAGATCACATGTTTAGGTTCAGCTTTAATTTAAATTTCGCCACCGTCCCTAGCCACAAATTTTAATATTTTGATACAAGGATTCTAGATAGACCTCGTTGACAAACACCTGATAAGATTCATGCCATTTTCATGTACAGCTACATGTTGAAAACGAAAATTAATTGCTGTAAACCCATCCACATAAGAGTTAAATGTTTGACAATAACCGTTAAAGAGTTGGAAATGCAAGTGTTTTTGTATCTTATACCTAGTTCTTTGAATTGTTTCCTTTTCGTGTGATAGCAACCTCTCCAGTAATCCTGTTCTAAACAGTAACTATATCTCTCCTCTAGTGGAATTTTAATATCATTCTTACTGATATATATGATTTTGTCCCACCTACTAATAAGCTCACAACTGTCCTAAACGACAAATATTTATTCAAACCTTCACGTGTGTTCACGCCTAAAGTTGACACCTGTTAGCCCCATCTACTACAATCAAATATTCCACAATTTTCTTCATGTCTAAATCAAAAGTCTCCTGAACAATTGCGCGCTTTGACGGCGAGCATGGACAGATCTTTTATAATTCTATCCTCTCTACACAAACTCTTATTGAAAATTAAACCATTTCGTTAAGTGCCTATTTCATTTAAGTTTAAATGGATTAGGTCATAGATAGGACGTTTCGACTTGATTCCGCAACTCAAAATGATGGATTATGTTATGATCCGCTATTTGACCCATATTGATTTAAGCAAACTCTGAAGCTGGTGAGATTGTGATTTGGGGGCATTTGTATCTATACTCGCTTTTTGTGTCACGTTTTAATTTATGTCTGTTTTGCAAAAAATATTGCAAGTGTACCCGCTTTTTGCATAACTTCAGCATATGGAGCTGAAGTAGCAAAGGCAATGACGCAAAACTTCAGCATTCTAGTAGACGGGCTTGAAGTAGCAAAGGCAATATGCTGAAGCTTTTTTGTCCTGGATAAGCTTTTTCAGAAATTTCAGCATCTTATGCTGAAGTTATTTAGTTCATTTGTAAAAATTTCAGCAACTGGATTCATTAGTTTTGTCATAAAGCTTTTTCAGCACAGTTCATTTGTAAAAACTTCAGCACTAAATAAGTTGAAGTTTTTTTGTCCTGGATAAGCTTTTTCAAATACTTCAGCAGAAGATGCTGAAGTTATTTAGTTCATTTGTAAAAACTTAAGCACTATATAAGCTGGAGTTTTTGAAGAAGCTTATATAGTTTTTTGACCCACACAATCACTATATTGGATCTTCGTTTTTTTTCTTCTTTCTGAACGTTTTTATGGAGCAGATCAGTAATTACATTAGAAAAAGGTGCCTTCAGTGGAAATAAATCAAATAATCATAAAGTTTAAGTGATATAAAGTGAAACTATTACTTTAACCCCACAGATCAATTCATTTGATTCAAAGAAAAAAAAAAGATTACATCAAAAATGCGAAAAAAATAAAAAGAAATCGTCCAGCTTATGTTAGTGGATTCATTGTTATTGATAAGTCGTAACAATGTAGACCAAATGCTAACTTGTGTTATCCTACTGAAAATATCTTAAGAAAACGAAGGAGGAGAAGGAGGAGGAGAAAGAGGGCTGAAGTTGTTTAAAAAGTTGGTACAAATTAAAACTTTAAAAAATTGGGTATAGGTTAAATAGGGGCGACCCAATAGGGCGGCCCGTGCAATTTTTACTATGATTTGACACATATTGGCCCATTCAAATTTAATCGAACCCGTTCATTTGCCATTTCTTATTTCAAACTAAAAGATGTTTGTTTAACGCAAAATAAGGAAAAAATTGTTTGAGTGAGAAACAAGTAGCAAAATATTCTAACCAACCCCGGATTGCGGTTCAATTTCGTAATAATATTAGAAAATGTAAGGGAGGATTCGATAATGGGACAGAATTGTTAGGTTTAAAGATAAATACAATTAGGCCTGTCTCCATCATTCCAGCATCATTACACATACGCAAGTCAAGAAGACTTTGTGCATCGAGTATCTCACACAAGCATTGGTATATTCAGCTCTACTCAGTTCAAAAATACACATTTTGTTATTGTTATACAATAGAGTAAAACTCCTTCCAACCAAAAGACTAGTTTTGCCAAATTCTTGTTATAACCAAATAATCGGTGAGATTTTTATGCTACAATAACTAATAAAATGGTCATTTACTTAAGTCTAATGATGCACTTCACGAGGAGCAAGTGGGAACATGACATCTAATATAGTACTATTAGAACTGCATGATCAACAATGATCCAAAGGTGAATACCCTTCATCGAATAAATATATTGTGCATATAGATGAAAATTTATATATATGGAGACCTTTTGTACATATATATTAAATTTTAAACATTCTTAACAAAATTCATGACTTCGTCATTAGACACACACGGACATGTGAAATACACTCGCTCAGTCACAGTACCTGAAATAGAAAAGAGGCGAAAAGGCACAATATTCTGCAGTCTAATCGACCCCGGTATACTCACTCAATGCATGTTGGGACTAACTCATAGGCAAGTGAGAAAATCCAATAGAGTTCCACTTACAGATAACGTGCTTCACTAAACCAACGAGGTTTGATAAGCCATATAATAGGAAACAAAAAACTGGGATACAATTCTATTTCTTCCTGTAGACAGTATTTTCACTCTTCTAAGAATTGAGTTATCTGCGACAACTTTACATCCCATTTAGGAAACAAGAATGGCATACAATTAGAGAATGTAATCAACGTGCAAGTTCGCTTAATGTTCAAGTCACCACTGGATCATTAGTCTACTGTCCTCGAATACTTCATAGGACAATGATGTCTGGTCGGCTTATATTATACTCAACTAGTAAAAAGAAGACAGTTTCTTACACTACATACAAGTGAATACAAGGTCCATAAGATAATCACAAAAATATAGAGTGGACACAACTTGAAACCAATAAAGATCTACATCAGCGATACGGTTATTGGAAAAATAAAAGATTATAGGAGGTAATTGGTTGAAATTAAACAAATCCTATTATGAAAAACACAGCAACGTCAGATCCACGTATAAAACAAAATGGCTCAATTGATAACCATCAAATCAGTCATAAGGCTTGCCTAGTTGCCTTCTCAAAGAAGAGAGAACAAACAGTAGACTAACTTGAGCTCAAATGTGTGTACAGAGATCTCTCAGCCAACACCTTGCAAAACAAATACCTGCAAACAAATTAAAATATTAATACAAAAACCAAGAAAGCCACAATTAGATATTGTCATCCACTGACGCTTGCCAATACAAATATTCCACGCTTTGATTCTCAAAGTGGAGAAATATAATACATTTTCACCGCAAATACTTCCTTCCACCAGTACCCTGTAAATAGCTTGTTCCTGGCCCCAAAACTTTTCTCTTGGTCACAGTATTTGAATCACATTGAGGAAGATTTTCTACTTTCTAATTTTCTTAGCTATGATAGCCATATTCCTCGGAGATAATACAGGACTAAAAATAGGTAAGAGGCTTGCTTCCAGATCATTGCCATACTCCTGGAGAAGCAACAATCGGTCAAGCAGTACAAGAGTTTCCAAGACAGGACCCAGGGCAGCACGAAGAGACCAATAAGGCCCTATTAACTCCTGCAGAAAGTTGATTACTTTGTCAGAAGAGGAAAACATTTTTTTAAAAAGGAATCTTTTTGTTATTTACCAGGCCCCAAAAACAATCTAAGAATAGACATTTCTAAGCTAGTTAGAAAACAAAACCGCCAAGGACTGCACATATCAGCTAACCAAATAATCTGGATAATTGAGCAGATCATAGGCACCTGAATTTATGCAACTTTGTCAGCCAGATAGGACTGGCGCGTGCAACTCACAGGAATTTGAATGAACTATGATGCAACACACAACCAATTAGACCTCCACTCAAAAGATAAAGCAATTACATCAACTAGTAAATAACAAAGGCCACAAAGTTGTGGAACTTCAAACTCAATTAAGATATTTTTGACCTATAGAACCGCACTGATCTAATTGATGCTGAGTAGAAATATCTTCTTATTTTTTAATGACCGAGAAATCCATCTACAGCCGACCTTTTGGGACAACTGCAGCCTCCGAAACTAGGGAATAATGGGCCCGCCCTTCTACCCATCTCTACTTAAATACCAGAGTTAGTTCGTTTGGCACAGGGCTCGAACATGTGACCTAAGACACAAGTCCCTCAAATTTTGCCAATTGACTAAACCCTAGGGGCTGCTGAGCAGGAGTATCTTGACCACTTAAATCATCCAATGATGATCTTCAAGAGGCGATATCCTGTATTTGTGCAAACTTAATGACTTTTAAATTAAGCAAGTTGAACACCTTTTTATTAAGAAGAGGAGCCTTGGAGCAACGGTAAAGTTGTCTCCGTGTGACCTATAGGTCACGGGTTCAAGCCGTGGAATCAGCCACTGATGCTTGCATCAGGGTAGGTTGTCTACATCACACCCCTTGAGATGCGGCCCTTCCCCGTACCCTGCATGAACGCGGGATGCTTTGTGCACCGGGCTGCCCTTTTGAACACCTCTTCATTAAAATAACTAATAAGTTTGGCCAAGCTAAAGTCAAAGGATAGACAGAGACAAGTAGTGTACTGTTTTTACAGTTTGTCTTTAAAAGGTAAATGACAGAGAGTAGCAAGACCTTTTAGAATCACACGGTGTAATACACATCAATCTAAATGACACTGACTAGAATATCTTGACCACTTAAACTATCCAATTAAGAACTTCAAGCAGCAATATCCTATGTTTGAGCAAACAAATGACCTTCAAATTAAGCAAATTAAACAAGTCTTCATCCCTTAAAGATGCAATGACCTGAGAAATTTTGGCCAACCAAAATTTTAAAGCAAAAAAAAGAAAAAAAAGAAAAAAATAGAATAGTCATAACTTACAAGTAATGAATTGTGTTTATAATGTGTCCTATAAAGGTACAGAAGATATGCATGTTCCCCAATCTGAAAGAGGAAGATTAAATCAACAGGCTACAGCAACCACTCTCTAGGAAATCAGGAAATTTCTTGAACCAAGCCAATCACTTAGATTGCATAGATGCCAAGAAAAGCCATCAATCCCACAAACTAATATCCATTGCGTCTTACTATATGCAGTTGGCAAAACATCACTTTGCTTACCAGCCCCCAAAAAATGGTTGAGCGTGGATTGAAAAACAAAGACATCCCTGAGGATACTAAAAATCTACTTGGCATATCCTTACTGAAAGATCAAAGTGAAAAGAGAATAGTGTCATTAATCTTATATCCTATTTAGCATTGATATAATATCCTTGCAACTTTTGCATGTCTTTAGTATTGAATCAACCACAGATCAAAACAGAAAGGTGTCAGCTATAGAAGAAATTTTCCTTTGGCAGGACATAACTTTAAAGGATCTGGCCGAAATAAGAGAAGACAGAAATGCAAGTACAGCTGAGAGATCAATCCCCTTCCAACTCGAGTAAGCAAGAATAATATCATATATAGAAGCAAAATAAACTTTTAGAGTATTTGTGCATTTACTGAGAGATAGAATTGATATTACATCCAAATGACAAGAGTAGGACATAGCAGCACCGAGTGACAGATAGACATGAAAATGAGAAGAAAGTCCGGCAGGGTCTCCCAAAAGTGAATTAATTTACCACTAACAATCTTTAAGTATACAAGACAAATAATAATGCACCAAAGAGGACTTCTATGACACTAACAATAAAAATTATAATATCATCAAAAGATCTACTTACAGCATATGATTCAGACTCCCTCCAGACTGCACTGTAATCAATATCCTCCAAACAAGGGAGATGTAGGCGACCTAGCCCAGATTCACAAAATTTTACAAATAGTGAGTATCTGTCCACAGTGCTAGACTCCCTACTTTTCGAATTCTGAATAGAGGAGTACTCATGGAAAAAGGCCACATTCTCCCATGGCTTCCCTGCATAGAAAGGGCGTAAGAGCTTATTTTCTTAATAGGTGGCCTTGACAGTTAGGCTATTACATATGCACAATTGCACTAAATAATGAAACCTACAACATCTTAGACTGGTCAAGAATATATAACACATCTTTTAAACAAGTAGACTGGGAAAAAAATATAAGGGTAACAGTAATCCTTAAAATCCTATTCAATCAACTTTTACCAACTGGAAACCAAACACGTACCATAATAAGTTTAGTCCTAAATTCTCATGAATGAGTTATTCAGAAATTAATACGAGATGTACCCTTTATGGTTTTACCTTGAAGCCCAATGAACTTCATCAATGGTATCCCTTTAAAGTACTCACCAGATTCTGAAGGGCCCCTATAATGCAAATTAGACTCCAGGATCCTCTGATGCTGTTGGCGTCGTAAGGCTTTCCCTTGACGTCCTATTGTAGGGCTTTCTTGCAATATGTGTGGGTAATGTCTGAAAAGAACCTTCAGAATCACTGCAGGTTAGTGGGCTACTGCATTGATTAGGTATACATATAAAACCACCAGAACCCGATACTACAGGCAAAATGTTTCACTGTAAGGGCTTATAGATAAGCCCAAAGAAACCAATTGGTATAGTAGACCAAATAAACAGCATGTACCATCTGGAAAGCAGCACGGAATGCATGCAACTCAAAGTTGTGAAGTCCTGCGTGCTCATCCAAGCCTCTCCATCTATCAGCACTCTGATAAAGCGACTCAAGGTCAGAATACAATTATAATGAAAAGGTAGACAGCTTAGAAGATGCAACGAAAGTGAACTGTGAATTGAAACAAGGTCTATCAAGATGAGGCAACAAAGAATAGTATAATACCCATCTACCTGACAAGCTAGATCACGAGCATTTTTATCTAGCACTACTCCAGCAGATTTAACACCTTGGCTTACAGGAAAACCACAACAAGAATCCACCATGTCACTGGCTTCCTCGGAAAGCAAGTTATAACAGCAACCAACGCTAATCACCGCCTTAGCGTTGTCACATTCCAAGAATGTCCTGGATGAAAAGAAATCTTGAGCCAATTACACATCACATAAATATCAAAATGGGCAGGGACTACTATAACAATCTAGAATGATACCATAAAGCAAATTAAGAGGCATACAACAAACTTGCTGGGATGATAAGTACAAGATATTAGTAAGAATTGTTCACATAAAGCTTCTCAAAATATAATACCTAATATAATAAAAACATAAAACCCCATTTAACGCCTTCGAATGACTAAGAGAAAAGATATGTGATGTCCCTCTATTGTCCATAGTATTTAACGCAGCAAAAAGTGCAAGTCAATTTCCACTAACCAATCAGATAATGGAATACAACATGAGACTTAGAAAGGGGCACAATTATACAATATGATACCCACCTCAGCATTGTCACCGAGAGGTCTCCACAGGCATGAAGTCCAGCAATAACTAATGAAGAATCACTATAGGATAGAGAAGGCAGTATATTCTCAGTAAGCCGAGAGGGCTGAGAGCCCGAACTTTTTCGGCTCAAATATTGATTCGCTGCATCATCATTCTCTTCTCGGAAGTTACTTAAGGTCTTCAATGTGTCAGAAGACAGCACCCGGCATGTAACTGTCTTTGGCATGCTAATCTCTCTAAGTTCGGAGCTGATAAAATGGAAATGGATTACATACAAGCGTTCTGAAAGAGGAAAATCATCCAATAATGACACAAAATATTGATGCTAAGTAAATGTAACCGTGAATCAGATTGATGTAGAGCATTGAAGCAGATGCATACATTTTTGGATAACAAGAGAACAAATACTGCCAAATTTCTACAATAAATCTGCTATTCTTGAACACTCCAAGCAATGCAACTAATATAAAATATTTCATCTGCTACTGCTCATTAATTGCTTTGGAAAAGCTAAGACAGCAAAAAGGAAGTCCAATGTATTCACAGTCCATATTTTTGTATTATATAGGATTAATTTTAAAGGAGCTCATAAAAAGATGTCGCTAGCATAAGGAAGACTCTACCTACCCATTTTTACGCATCTTAGCTGCATAGTGCTTCCTGATTCGCTCCACACGTGCATCAGTAATCTTACCATGATGTGAACAAGCATCAATGGCAATTACAGAAAGCTGGTACTCAAAGGAAAGCACTTGAGCAAGATAACCCTACACGTAGAAACAGACAACAGGAAAACCAGATAATCCAGATAATTATTTCTCCGTGTTTAGAATTTGTACAATTTTAAGTTTATCTTATAAGTAATTGATAGAGATGAGCTTAAATGGAGCAACATGTGAAGAACATTCAAGGCTTTTCTTTTTTGTATATCTTGAAAGCTGGAAAGAGCTCTGAATTGGGGGACTTTTTTAAAGGCAAAAGAACATTGTTGGCTTGTTCGGATATTAGCTTTTGGCAAAACACAACATGAACTTTTCTTTCCTGAATAACGGTACTCTTCGGGACAGTTTGCACGCTTCTCGATTATACGATTAGACACTTATTAAGTCTTGCTAGTATAAATTTCGGATAACTCTATCCATCCTGAAACAAATGGGAGGAAATCATTTAAGTATTTGTTGTCTATGTTGAGATTTAAAGCTAAATCTTTTGTGATTTTCACTCACTTCGTTGATAGCTAGGCCATACCCTTGAGTTCAAATGCAGTATGAACTATTAGATTAACAGAAACAATGACAAAACTATTTTCGTGTAAATTTTCCCGGGACCATTCGTATGGCTGAGCCAACTTGCTCGGGATTGAGGTGTAGTTGTTGATGTATTTAGAATTACTAGAAGCAGTGGGCAAAACATACTTAGTCTGTAGATAACATAATCCAGAACCCATAACAAACGAAACAAATGGGAGGAAATCATTTAAGTATTTGTTGTCTATGTTGAGATTTAAAGCTAAATCTTTTGTGATTTTCACTCACTTCGTTGATAGCTAGGCCATACCCTTGAGTTCAAATGCAGTATGAACTATTAGATTAACAGAAACAATGACAAAACTATTTTCGTGTAAATTTTCCCGGGACCATTCGTATGGCTGAGCCAACTTGCTCGGGATTGAGGTGTAGTTGTTGATGTATTTAGAATTACTAGAAGAAGTTTTAGACTTTTTTCAAGTGCATCTGAAATTATTGCACCGCAAGGTTGTCTGGTGGTTAATCTATTAGCCCAATGTAGAAAAGAAGCAAGAATATATTTAACGAGCATCAGCTACAAACTCGTAAAAAGGTCCTAACCTGTAGGTTCTACCCATGTACTGACTCATTCTACAGAACAAATTAAGATAACACGTAAACTTGTAAGTCATAATCCTAATATGTAAATATATACACACACACACACACACACGTGTATCAACAGCAGAATATGTGTGAATTGCACAGGAACAAGCCACATCATCGAACAAAGCAGAAGGGGACACACCTGTCCAGCACCAACATCAACAACTGTCCGTGCTCCAACTTGCTTTGCAACTAAACCGACCAGGGCAGCAAGGGCCTCTACCTGCTTAAACAATATTATATCATTCTAGCGTTCCGGTTGAGAAAATCAAACCCATAGAAGGCATCTGCTATAGTTGCTCTTTCGAACATAGGCTCGATATTAGGAAATGGTTCGCAATCAGAAAACAACTTTAACTTTCAATCCATTTTGTAATACTTTCTGGAAATTATTTATGTTCTTTCATTGAGAAAACAAAACCGTAAAAGAATATGCTTAGAAGCTCCTTTAGCACATAAATTCAACATCAGAAAAAAAGTTTTTGCAATCACAACTTAGAGTAGATCATAGGTAGCAAGAGAGCTTGCTGTAAAAAAAAAAAGATTCGGCTTTCATGGCCTTATATCAGTAAGTAGTCATCTAAATTGGTTTACCAAACTTGAACTTCTACAAATTTCAAACTTGAAAGCAAAAAGGATAAACAATGCTCAACAGATTTGTAGTCAGCCAAATTGAGCACAAAGAGAGGTCAGTAAAAGAGGACTAAGCAAATAATTCCATGCCTTACTTCATGTTTTTTCTTATGATTCATGCCTTGAGCTAAAACATTACTTAGTGAAGCTATGTGCATTCCTGAAAATTCCTGCAAGCAAACAGAAGCATTAGTAAAACTCAATACCTGACTGCCTTATAACATGGTCTAGGATGTTTAATAAGGAAGTAACCGAAGAAAAAGAGCAGGCAAGGTATCACAATCTCCAGAAAGGGCTTGAAACTACTCAATGGCAGAGGTCATCTAGCACCTTTCAAGATCTCGTTCAACTTCAGACAGAATTATGCAAAATGAACTAGGCACAGCAGTGGGCAAAACATACTTAGTCTGTAGATAACATAATCCAGAACCCATAACAAACGAAAGAAATGCCAGTAGCGTAAAAACTTCTAATATGGGAAAAGCATAAGAAATATCAATGGGATTAAATAAGGAGACAAGGCCATAATGCTAATTCTACAACCACTATGAATGAAAAGAAAAATAAATATACCTGCAAATCTGTCTGTTCACGTGGAAGAGAAAGAGACCTCAGAGTAAGGATGAATTCCTTAAGTGAAACGGGCCAGTGACCCTAGAAACATAAGAAGAAAGTCAATTAACAAAGAAATATAGGTTTTGTAACAGTTATGGATACTAGTTAGTTGGTAGATGATAAAGTTGTTCTTTTTCTTCTTCTTTTATCCTTTTTTTTTCCGCTAGGTCATAGGTGACACTAAACTGAAGCACTGAAAATCTTGGTATATAAAAGATGGAAATATTTACATACTCTCCTTCCAGAACTGAAGGTATTAACCATGTCTCCCACTCACTACTTTTATACCTTTTCATCATCTGTCTTTCCAACTTGTTCAACTTTTCCAAGTTCTCGTTCTTAGTCAATGAGTAAATGTATTCTATAGGTGTATATCTTAGTGGGAAAAAATACCTGCTTCCCTCACTCCCCCCGAAGGGAGGATTTGTTAAACGACCAATATGTGAATATGAGAGTCTCATTAAGGACCAAAATGAAGAAAAAGAAAGTTATGCCTACAAAATTGCAGGAGCTTACCATATATGAAAACATTAACAATTGGAAGCAGCCAGATGCATCTTAACTCAGACTTACAAACTTACAGAACATCTTAAACAAAAACTTTAACAAATCCGGACAACAAAAAGAATAGATACCACACCAAAACTGTTATGGATATGTTTATCTAAATTACATTTGGTATTAAGCGGCCAATACTCAACAGCAACGACGACTATGCGTCAATCCCAAACTAGCTGGCGTCAGTTATATGAATCCCCACTACCCATATGACTCCTCCATTTGGACCGCAGTAGTCGAGCCAATGGAAATTTACCATTTTTTGTCACTTGTTACATTCAATATAAGTGATACTATATGGAAATGAAACAGATGTAGGGAGTAGTATTTTATGTCCCTGGAAGTGTACATGGGAGTTGGGTTGGTTATTTACTTATCAGTTATGGATATGTTTACCTAAATTACATTTGGTATTAAGCGGCCAATACTCAACAGCAACGACTATGCGTCGATCCCAAACTAGCTGGGGCCAGCTATATGAATCCCCACTAACCATATGGCTCCTCCATTTGGACCACAATAGTCGAGCCAATGGATATTTACCATTTGTTTTCACTTGTTACATTCAAGATAAGTGATATGATATGGAAATGAAGCAACTATGGGGAGTAGTATTTATGTTCCCGGAAGTGTACATGGGAGTTGGGTTGGCTATTTGCCTAGTAGCTATTAGTTTTTACGTTACGTTTCAGTCCAATAAGTAGTTACTTTATTTAAGTTACTTTTATTTCACTTTGACCCCTAGGGCTTATTTCCCCTATATGTATCGAACTTGCCATCTTCAGAGGCTATGAATGAAATCTATGAGTTCCTTTTCCTTAGCTTAGCTTAGTTCTTAACTTTAGTTTCTTCTTAAATTCTCATATTGCATCAATAAGTGAATACTTATAGGAAAGTATAGGTAGTGTTGGGGTGAAAATATGTGCTACTGTTTGACCTTCTACAAGTAATTTCGCACAAACAATATGCAGTTCCTCTTTCTGGAAGCAAAGCAGCTAATAAACCGCCAAGTAGCTCTAAACTTTCTACAACTCCAATTAACAAAAAAAATGGAAATAGAAATGCTTTATTAACAAGACACTAAATAATTTATTGGAATATACCGGGTACGTTGTTGTTGTTGTTGTTGAAATACACATGAAATTGACAGGAAAACTTATAAAGCTTGGAGGTAAGGAAATAAGGAAGATTCTGATAACTACCTGAACGACACCAGACGGAATTCGGAGAAGATTTTCAACAGGCTCCTTCCGTAAACAATGCATCCACTCTTTATCAACTGCTTCCCACAGTCTATCCTGCATATACTCACAAAAGAAGTTTATAACATGCGTAAGGAGAATGCTAGCCAGTGAAAAAATAGCTTAATATTAATTCATCTATAGAAAAGCTGAAAAGAAGATGAATGGGAAGACCTTGAAGAAATTGACGACATGAGCATCTAAGAAATAACGGTAAGGCGATATGAAGTGGATAATTGCATGAATCCATTCTAGGGTTTCACTAGCAGTCTTGCAAGAATACTTGCACTTCTCAGCCATGGAAGGGAGAATTGCAATCTCCCGCCACCGTACCTTACGCCCACGTTGGTGGTAATTGATCAAGTTCCAAAGTGTGGAAAATTCAACACAAGGCCGGGCCGTAGAGACTGTCAGCCCAGGTATTTGGAATTGGACTTCTCCACACAAAAAAAAATGAGTAATTTTCACTAATGTTATTTAGCGGCTATTAACTATTTATAGCTACCATATATATATATATATAATTACTTAGCGAATTCGCTTAAAAATAGAAGAGTACAGTTATGTGATTGTATTCCTTGTATTCGTATTTCGCACTATTGTATTCATGTATACAGTCGCGAAATTCGCCTTATAAGTAGGGAGTCTAGCTGTTTAATAACGGAAAGAGGATCAATTAGCGTATATCACTCCTAATTTAACTCAACAAAATCAATTCTACAAAATTTTGTTGCTACTGTGTTGTATTTCATGTATTCGTGCGACTGTATTTATAAATACAATGAGGTAATCTGTCTAAAAATAGGGATCACAGCTGTTTAATTCTATACTCCATGTATTTGCGCGACTGTATTTATGAATATAATGAGGTAATCCGCCTAAAAACAGGGATTAAAGTTGTTTAATTATGTATTTTATGTATTCGAGCGAGTGTAAATATAAATACGGTAAGGTAATCTACCTAAAAAATAGTGGTTGGGTTTTTAATAACGGAAAGTGCAATATTGAATTGTATTCAGTTTCACTATATTGAATTCAGACAACAACAAAAAATTAAGAAATAGGGTGTATACCGTTCTATTCAATTCGATTGTATACATTGTATTCAATTCACAAATATTCATTATTTACTATTATACATTGTATTCAATTCACCATAATCAATTTGATTGTATTCAAACAACAAAAACCACAAAAACAACGACATTCGGTTGTATTAAAAAAATACAGACCTTCGAAAATACATAAATACAGGCAAAAAATAATGTACTTATATAAAAATATAATGTAGTTGAGCGCATTTGTACATAATACAATATATTTTGTGTCCTTGTATATGACTCAATAGAAAGAAGAGAAGAAAGTTCGCCGGAGATGGTCTTTTCCGGTCAAGCAAATACCGTATACATTATGTTAAAACTAAAAATGGAGACGAACAAAAAATCGTCCCTCAAATCTTCTCCGACGACTCTTCGGGTGTTTCTATATGAACTCATTACCGGCAGGCGTCCATTGGACATAAATAAACCTAAAAATGAGCAAAAACTTTTGGTATGGGTGAGACCACATCTTTCAGACCTGAATGAAGTTTGAACAAATTTTGGATCTTCGACTAGATGGGAACTATTCCCTTAAGTTTGCACGGAAGTTAGCTGTTATAACGAATAGGTGCGTAACTAAACACATATCTATTCTCTTCGCTTTAGAAAATCTGGCCGTCGCCACCAAAAATGGCTGCTATGACGACTGCCTTGATGGAAAATGGAGAGAGATTTGAGAGAGAAGAGAGAGGATTGAGAATCTTGGTGATATATAGAGAGAAAGAACATAACTGATGTATTTCACACCTTAATGGTAGGGTGTAGAATAAATACCTATTTTACTATAAAATAAAAATGGTAGTTATAAATAATAATATTTTGAAATTATTTCGGTTTATAATAAATGGGGGGTAATAGTTTGCTATAGGAGGTAAAATTCCAAAGAAATTCAACAAGGACAATGAAAATAGGTAGAAATGGTACCAGCTACCCAAATTTTAAAAAAAAAAATAATCAAAATAATCATTCACCCAATCGCTTAAACAAAAAATAGTCACAAGATATATAATATATGTATAATTCATATATAATATGTATATAATCATATATAGTTTGAGTATAATCTATATATATTGGCTAGAAAAATAGACAATGACTCCAACCATTTTTACGCAAAGATCTCCAGTTTAATGATGTTATTTAAAATAATCACAATTTACAATATATTTAAATTTTAGCCTTATATTCAGGAAAACTGAAGGTAAGAGCTAAAGTAGAAACAAAAATAATCAATGAAATTGAAGAAAAGAGTTAAATTTGAAACAATAATTATTAAGAAAATTAAAGAAAATAGCTAAAGTTGAAAATAAAGATGGATATAAGAAGTTTAAATCAACGGATGCTGCAATCACTATCCTTTTAATTTGTTATCACATGACGAATTGTAAATAGCAAAATTTGACATTAATAATGTAGTAACAAATATTGAAGAATGAAACACAGTATTTGATGGCAAAATTGTCGAATATATTCGGAATGATGAAGTTTGAAATTCAAACCACGGGTCTGAAGTTTGATTGTGCCAATTAAAACTTTAGACCACGGGTCTAAAGATTGCCCACTACTGATGAAATTGACTAAATTTTAAATATAGGCATAATAGCCTAATAAACATTTTTATTTTACCCCTTTATTATTGCGGTCACGATACTGTACAAAGTTTTATCCAGACATTCGTAATTTTTAAAATATATTACTTTAAACCCCGTCAATCTCGTGTGTTCTTCAAATACACGATGTGAACGACACATCATAGTCCACATCATATTTTTAATGACACATTATTCTTTTTTTTATGATACATCATTCTTTTTCATACTCCACATCAGAGATATTTCATAAAAGAATGCCTTCTGAAGCAAAAGATCTTGTATCAAGGCTTCTTCAATATTCTCCAACTCTAAGTTGTACTGCTGTAAGTTTTGAATTTTCCTTTTAGGGTGTGTTTGATACGAGGAAAAATATTTTTCGAAAAATGTTTTTCAATTTTTTTATGTTTGGTTGGCTTAAATGTTTTGGAAAATATTTTTCTTATCAACTCATTTTCTCCAATTAGAGAAAAATGTTTTCCTTATCAAGAGAAGGGAAAACATTTTCCAAAACTCCTTCTCAACTNTTTTTTTTTTTTTTTTTTTTTTTTGTAATTTCAAATTTCTGTTTTTTCGTTTTTCTGCACCACCCATCCCCCACCCCACCCCACACAAAAAAAGTTTTTTTTAAAATTTTTTTTTTTGTAATTTTAAATTTCTGTTTTTTCGTTTTTCTGCACCCTGCCCCCTCCCCCGGGAAAAAAAATATTTTTTTTATATATTTTCAATTTTAGTTTTTTCATCTTTCGGTTTACAGGTTCGAAATTTTACAAGTTCCAAAGTTATGAGTTCGGAGGTTTATGTGTTTGAAAATTTACGGATTTAGAAATTATAAAGTTTACGGGTTTGAAAGTTCGCGATTTCGAAAGTTGAGTAGTTCAGAAGTATATGAAATTTGTGAGTTCGGAAGATTGTTGGCTCGAAAGTTTATGACTTCATGTTTATTGTATCTAAATTATTTATGAATACTCTTGATAGGTTTTTTTCCTTAATTTGCATACCAAAACACCGAAAAATGAATAAGATTACTACTTATTTTTCAAAAAAATATTTTCTTGGAAAATAATCTTCGTAGAGTATCAGGGTGGAAATGAGAAAACGGGACAAGTAAAAGTGTATTGTCTATTATAAATATTGGATAACTTTTAAAATAGAGGCCGTAGGGCGGCTATCTGTGCACTGTGCACTTTGCCCTAGAAATAGCCATTGGGAGCTTTACCCAAATAGTGGTTAAATTAGATGTAGTATTTAATTTTTTAGTCGGTATACATAACCTATACATTAATATATATGTATATATACTTTAGTCTTCACAATAACTTCTTTTTGCAAACTTTTCAAGATTTTATTTCTGGTGTTTGCTTGAAATTTATTTTGTAAAAAAGTTTTAAAAAATTATGTTTTGCGTCAAAACACTTTTCAAAATATGTAATTTTTAAAAACTTTTTTACAAAAAAAATTTCAAGTAAACACCAGAAATAAAATCTTGAAAATTTTGCGAAAAGAATTTATTGTGAAGAACTTTTTTTTTCTTTGCAAAAAGTCTATTTCAAATTTCTGAACCAAATGCTTTTGAGTCTAGACATGATTTCACTCGAGAAAGATGAAGTTGAAGTTGAGTGAAAATTATTATTTCACTTGAACTATTTTTCAAACTAATTTTTTGATTTAAAATTTTCTATTTCAAGTTGAAGTTAAAAATAATGGACCAAACTAGGAAACAAATACTACTCCTATTAATTTGCAAATAAAAGTATTTCAAGTTGAAGTTAAAATAATAAAATACTAGTAACTTTTATGGCCCAAATGTTATCACAACTAGTGCGAGGATAGTTAATATTCTCTCTGTTCTAATTTATCTGTTACTTCTCGCTTTACAAGAGTTAATTTTGATTAATCTTTGAAGCTAAACTAGATCAGACAACTCAATATAAATAAATTTAGATATTCAAAAATAATTATGCTCTTTCCATGTCAATATGATAAAAAAATATTTTAAAATGTTGGTCCATTTGAATCTCATGAAATGAAAGGTATCACGTAAATGGGAAATAAGAATTGTGTAGCTGCTACTATGATATTGGAATAGACTTTTGTGGAGTCCGGAACCAAAATGTGGTTCTTTTGAACTTAAAGAATAAAAATATGTGAAAAAAATATAGAGACCAAAATATAGTCTTTTTAAAAAGCGCTATACCTTAACGGTCATTTGGCCAGAAGTATAGCGTCTTTCAAAAAACCGCTATATTTGAATTAATTTAAGCGGAAAACTTTAGCGTCTTTTGTTAAGATGTTATATATATAGCATCTTAACAAAAGACGCTATATATATATAATATAGACCATCTTCTATCTTAGTTGTTTTTTATGTCCTCTATGTTATTTTGTGATTGTTTTGCGATTTAATTAATTTTTTATTTTTTATCCGAACTATAGTATTAGTGTGCTAAAAAAAATCGTAAAATAGAGAAACTATTATTAGTTGTTAAAAAAAAGTTAATTAGTTATTTTTTACTGTGGTATATGTAATTTCGTGATTGTTTTGTGATTAAATTGATTTATTATTTTTATTCGGCTTAGATTATTTATTTGCTAAAAGACTAGTAAACTAGATAAATTATTACTTTAGTTCCCTGTAGTGGTATCTTGTGGCCTAATGTAGTGCTCGTATTTATATGTATTGACCTTTTAACGTAGTAAAACATAGTTCCCTTTAGCGTAGT